GAACTATAAGACAAAGCAAACAGAAAGAATTATTATGTATTTGAAAGGTGAATTCCCTTGCGTCTTTTCAGAAGGACTAGGTCTGTGCACAAAAACAGAAGTCAACTTCGAATTGAAAGAAAATGTTAAACCAATCTTTAAACCAAAGAGAAAAGTACCATTTTCGGCACTAGACACAATAAATGAGGAATTAGAAAGGTTGGAGAAAATTGGTGTAATTTCACAAATTGATTACTCAGATTGGGCGTCTCCAACCGTACATATAAAAAAGAAAAACCGGAAAATCAGAGTGTGATGCGGACTTTTCAACAGACTTAAATGATTGTGTGAAAGACCATGCGTACCCTCTACTGTCTCCAGAGGATATATTCTCTAAATTAAATGGAGGTAGAGTGTTTTCAAAGTTGGACTTGTCAGAGGCTGACCTTCAGGTTAAAGTCAGTGAAGAATGTTTTTTAAACTAAATCATCTTCCTTTTGGATTGAAGGTAGCTCCAAGCCTATTCCAGCAAATAATGGACACAATGTTGGCTGGTATGGAGTATGTAATCGCATATTTACATGATATTTTGATTAAAAGTGAAAATGAGTCCCAAAACAAAATGCATATTAGAGCGGTATTTCAGATAATTGAGGAATAAGGGTTCAAGCAGAGTGCTGAAAAATGCAAGTTCTTCTTAAAGAAGATAAAATATTTACGGCAGATCATTGATAGTAAAGGAAGAAAACCAGATCCAGAAAGGGCTGAGGCTATAAAAAATATGCCAGCACCTGATAATGTGCTAAACTCCAGGCCTTCTTGGGATTAGTAAGTTACTATAGCATTTATATCCCAAAAATGTATGATATGAGAGCTCCTTTAAATAATTTGGTGAAAAGGGGCGTAAAGTGGATATGGTCGAAAGAATGCGAACAGGCTTTTAAAAAAATAAAAAGCTGTCTATTAGCAGACCTATCGTTAGTGCATTTCAACCCCAAGAAGAAAATCATTGTAGCAGCAGATGCCAGCCATGAGGGACTATGTGCAGTATTGCTTCATAAATTCGAGGATGGATCTATGAAGCCAATAGCACATGCCTCGAGAACGTTACTGCCCATGGAATGAAGTTACAGTCAAATCAAAAAAGAGAGTTTAGCAATAATCTACGCTGTAAAAAAATTTCACAGGTTTCTATACGGAAGAGAATTTATTCTGCAAACAGACCACAAACTGCTGTTAATATTTGGTTCAAAAAAAGGTATACCAACTCACACAGCAAATCGACAACAGCATTGGGGTGTAATTCTATTGAATTATGATTTCAAAATAGAATATGTGCCTTCAAAGAAGTTAGGTCATGCCGATGGGTTATCAAGATTGATACCTAAATATACGGAACCACTGGAAGAAACAGTAATAGCGGTGCTAAGAGACAAAAGTGAATTGTCGGGTCTGTTACGCAATACTATTAGAGAACTACCGGTTATGCTAGAAGATGTGAAAAAAGCAGCGGTGAATGATGATTTCATTAAAAAAATGAAAAAGCAAGTCTGGTTGAATGAGAAAACTAAAAAAAAAAAAAGAATTAGTATGTCACCTTTTTCAATCTGCAAACCGGTATTACTATACGCAGATAGGGTTGTAATGCTGGTTACTCTGCAAAAGAAAAATCTAAAAGAATTTCACACTGGCCATCCAAGGATTTCGAGAATGAAATCTCTAATGAGAGGCTATACTTATTGGCCAAGGATGGGCCAAGACATAGAAAATTTGGTGAAACAGTGCAGAGGATGTCAACTGGCAGCAAAGGATCCACCGGTAAAGATTCAACCATGGCCAAAGACAGATGTCCCATGGACTCGATTGCATATCGAGTAAGCAGGGCCAATAAATGGATCTTATTACCTGATCATTGTGGACAGTTTCACTAAGTGGCCAGAAATTGTTAAGTGCAGACATCTGACTGCAACAAATACAATAAACACACTTACTGAAATTTTTAGTCGCTTTGGACTCCCTAGATCTGTAGATCATTGTCCATTGATCACGTGACAATGCCAGTATATCATCTAAGATCGAATGGACAGGCAGAAACATTTGTGGACACATTTAAACGAGCGTTGAAGAAAAACCAAGGCGTGGACACGAATGAAAGAAGTATTCAGAAATTTTTGGCAGTATATAGAATCACGACAAACCCGAATACGACGTCAGGGTTATCGCCAGCAGAGTTAATGTTTGCGAGAAAAAAACGCCCTGTGTTCGACAGGCTGTTGCCTAGTCCAGCGAAGAAAGCTACTAAAAAAGAAAACCAGATTACTAAAGCATATAAGCTATGTGACAAAGTTTTTTTCAAGAACTTTAGAATGATAACCAAAAGAAGTGGACAGGTCATATATGACTTAAAAGGGGAAAAATTTTGGTGCAAAAGACATTGGAATCAATTGAGACCCAGATACACTACAGAGGTCACGGAAAATACCGAAGAGATTCCAATGGAAGTCCTGTATGACGCATTTGAAATTCCTGTTCCACTAAGTCAACATTCGTCAATGGAGGTATCCCCGACCTCAAGGCCAGAGGTACCAGTGTGCCAAACGCCACCACTGCAAGCAGGATTGAGGTGAAAAAGACTTAGGAAAAAAAAATCAATTGATTAAGTCCAGAGACTAAAAAGAGAAAATATTGAAGCTAAATTTCACGGGAAAATTTAGCTCAGAGGGAGGTAATGTAATGAATATGCATACACCTGGGTTACCCCTCACAGTAATATGATTGGCTGGTGTCAACCATAAATACAAACTGATGTGGAGGTATAGAAATGATGCCTATCACCTACCACTACAAGGAGGACCAGTCCATTATGATTACCTGCTAGATTGTCCTACCCGGTTACAGTAGTCAACAACCACTTTGCTACTTTGAACAAATATATCCCTTTCTGGGACATATCCCTTTTATACGCATCATTGACAGTGGAAGTGTTGATAGGTAGAAGGTGAACTAAGGCCCTGGTTGACATGGGCTGCACAATAACAACACTGATGATACCAAAGTTGTTGAGTGAGTGGAGTGAAAGGAGTAAATTCAGAGCAGATGGTGATTAGATGTAGAGTGGTCATTCAGATAGATCTGATGGCGAATGTGATGTGACTAAAATGCAAAGTTATTGTAATAGACTCCATTGTTGAATGAACTGATGTGGTGATGGGAATGGATGTGATTGGCCTGTTTATGGAGTGTTACCATCACTAAGAAAAGAATGGAATTTGGGACAGTCTTGTGTGACTTGAGTTTGCAGTCAAGGTGTGAAATCTCTTGGGTTACTGGATAGGGAGATGATACTGAAATTGAAGACAATGAAATTCCACTATTGAAGAACAAAATTGGTTCTTATAAAAGTTCACTAAGAGGTGTAGTGGAAGTTGAATTTGAAAAAAGAAGTAGAGAGATGGAACAATAAAAAACTAATACTGCTTTGGGAGGAAGACATGGAGTCTAGGGCTCTGTTATTGATTACTGTGGTTCAACCAACAAAAGGGAAGGTTGAATTAGTATCATATTTTAGGGAACTAAACAGTCATGTAGTATGCCAAATTGAAAGTGATTCTATGGATGTATGTGAAGAGACTTTGAGGGAGTGTCCACAGATGATGGTTATCAAAGCTTGTGGGCCTAAAGTTAACCTAATTGTAGCTTCAGGTGGGCATGAAGTTATGATGATATCAGCTGGTCAACTATAAAGGAAAACATACTGTTGGATCAGGCCTCGGATTTTGGTTGCATTTTGCACAAAAGATCATGGTAACAATCCTGTGAAAAATATTAGGGAAGGTGAAAGAAGTAAGAGGAACTATTACCTCAGTGAAGACCATCCTTCCACAAACCTTGTGGACTAGAATTACAGAATCACAAAGAACTGTACCAGATAACAACAGCAACAACTAAAATGGGTAGCACATGTAAATTGAAGAGAGAAGAAAGACATAATAAAGATGCTGGTATTCAACATTACCTCAAACAAAAGGCAAGGAAAGAAGCCTCCATCAGTACTGGAAAGAGCATTAGCAGCTACTAGACATGAGAAACTTATTTTCAGAAAAAATTGTTTTAAGAGAAAGATTTTATAAATATCAATTGACAGTAACACTAACTGCTAGGTCAATGAATGCCTAATGCTTCCTTTATAAGGAAACAGTTATTATTACTATTACCATTATAAGAAAGGAAATTTATGCAGCAGCATCCTTATTATCTCTTCTCTCATTACATTTTAGTTTGCTAGTGATAAGACATTAATGATAAGTAATAGTGTTAGAAGTAGAAAAGAATCAAGTTATTTTTTATTAAAGCAAATATCAAATAATATAAATGAGAATGATGGGAACTGCTATTGTTGTGGATAGTACAACAGATAGTGACACAGAAAGTGAAATCAGTGAGCCAAGTTAAAATTTTGGTCAAGTCTGCTGCATTCATTTTTGCACAAATGCCCTTTGGAAAGAAATATATCCATCTCTTTTACCAGCTATGGGTTAAATAGCAGAGTAGACTGGTCTCTTGGGTAGCAACCAGTATAAGAGAAAGAAATCAATTCAAATCCATGGAAAAGGCAGCAAGAAATCACTCCACTATCTTTCCCAAGTATACATGACAATTCACAGATAATAAAACAAAAGGAATGTGTGGAGTCATTATCTCATACATTCTGAACAGATATGGAATTTTTATTTATTATTCTATGAAAATCTTAATAAATTTATGCAGGTTTAAGCATATTGGATGTTTTACAGGAAGTTTACATTTTAAAATGGCACTAAAAAATTGGATAAAAAAAATTTTGCACTCTTCTTCCATTGAAAAAGATTAATCAAGTAAATATTAATAAAAGTGTTTGAAAAAATCATCTGAATAATTCATTTTTTTATAGTTAAGCATTCAAAAAAATGTAAAATGCTTTATAAGTTGTATCCACTTTCCATATGAGGAACTGAAGTATTGAACTGTCACAGATAACTTACTATCACTGTTACCTCTCCCAGTTTGTGACTTCTCTGAATCAGATTCAAATGTAAGAACTTCTTTTTTAATAGTAGAACACTCTGAAGTTGATGGAATCTTCTGAATGTCAGTGCCTGGTTCTTGAGAATGGACAGATACCAACTGCAAACAAAAGAACAATTAAAAGAATTAAACAATGTCATTCCGTGGGAAGGAAAACCAACAACAAAACAACAATTTTTGTATAAAATTATCACTGAATAGAACTTCATTAACTCCTAATATGCGAAATAATTTTCACAATAAAACAAAATTAAAACAATCAGCATAAATAGCCATAGTTTTTTCTCATTTAACATAACTATCATTGTTTGATATAAATTATTAAGACAATCAATAACAACAAAAGCAACAATAAAACAAACATAATCATTTAATAAAAAAAATTCATTCTAAAACAAACCTTTATGGGAAAAGTTTTATTATTAGTGGAATAGCAAGCAAATATATATTAAAGCTTTGTTTCAATATATTCTTTCAATGAGATGTTTATATACACAAACAAATTTTAGAAAAAAGACTAAATAAATATTTTGCTCAGTATTCCAGAAACAGGAACTGAAATGTTTTGCTGAAGCCATGTAAATAAAGTGATTTTTTTTCAAATGTCCTAAGTTACCATGACATCTAAAAGTACATAATTGCTGAATAGCAGAGATTCACATCCAATTATAGCATATTAGTGATTAAGTGGACATAACCCTTAAAGATATAAGCAAGAATACATCTCACTTCATTATCTAAACAGGAAAAAATCTGCTATTAGTTATATAATAATATTTTTGAAGATATAAAAGGGAGTGATAAAAGGTTCTCAGCTACAAACTAAGTCCAGCATAAACATGTAAATTTACAAGCATGTGCATATAAACCACTTTATATACAGACATAGTTTCATACATTATCCTGGAAAATTTCATTAACAGAAATAAATTGAAAAATTTATTCAGTGAATTACAAAAGGTCAGCTTTTAAAAGAGAGCTACTTACCTATTAAATAGTATTATTTGTAGTATTGTCACTTAAGCAGTTATCACTTATAAATAAGAGTGAATAGTTATCATGAAAAATTCATGATATTATTAATTGTTGTTATTTTTCTTTCACTATGAAAAGCATATTAAATCAAACAAAAGGGATAAGAAATGAACTAAGTCAGACATATTTGATATATATTAATATACCATACAGCTCTTGCAAACACCAAGACTACTGTTCAAAGTGCTGGAGGTGATTCTCATTAAGCCAATTTCATCAAAGGAAAGCATTGATATAAAGATCAAACAAGATAAAGTATCCATAGGGCAATGCATGTTGATAAGTTACTGTTATTCAAAGATAAAAGACCTAATCTACATTATAACTGACAATTCACAAAGCATTAGAGAAAATTAATTATGAATTTCAAATAACTTACAAATAAAGAAAAGAAACTCCATTTGAATATAAGAAAATGTTATGATAGTTACTGGTCTGATTAAATGAAGAAGAATTAGAAAATATCTGACAAATATGTCTGTTACTATAGAAATTGTTACACTACAGTGTGTGTATGTGTGTACATAGCCATGAAAGTGGTTTTAATAGGTGTCTGAAAGCTGTATGATGTTTGTTAGTGTACATAAGTATTGAAAGTCTCTCATTCTCTCTCTCTTTCTATATATATACAGGCCTTTTGATCAACTGACCTAAAACAAGCTTTACCACAAGGCCAGTAAGGCCAGTACACAACCAATTCTCCCATCTTCTAGATCAGATTCCTTTGCCCACAAGAGACATTCTATCATGATCTAATGTATTCATTGAAAATATAGATAATTTTATTTTATCATAACTTGTCTCTTTTTCTTTCCAACTCCCCTGCAATACTTTATTACTCTTGCAACCAAAATAGTATATAACAATCACAACATTGACAACTATACAGATAATCATACAAAGATAATGTTGATAATAATACAAATGACTATATACAGAGTGCGATGGGTAAATTGTTACCATTTTATATTTTTAATTTTGTGCATATAAATTGTTTTTGATTTTGTTGACAGCACAGTATAGTAGGGTCAGTTGGGCACCATCTGTGAGAAAAAGAGCACCATGATGCAATTTACTCTGCCAGAAATTTGGAAACAGCATGCTGTACTGCTTGGAATTTGTGCTGGAAGCTCCAATACAAACATTTCAGAGTGTTTGGGCATCAATCTGAGGACAGTGCAGAGGATGTTGTGTCTCCAAAAGATGTACCAAGAGTGATGAAAACCAAATATCCAGTCAACAATCATGGTGTTTGGAGTGATCACTAGTGATGGCGATGTTATGCCTCCATTCATTTTCCAACAGGGCCTCAGAATCAATATGGAGGCATACATTGTCTTGAGGAGGTAGTGCTACCCTGAATCAAGAGGGTGGCTGTTAGAAGACCTTATGTCTGGCAACAGGATTCTACACTATGCCACACAAATGGGAGAACTCAGTCATGGCTGTCAGATAATTTCTATGACCACATCACCCCTTACATCTGGCCACCTAACTCCCTAGAGTGCAACCCCCTTGATTATTATGTGTGGGTCACAATTGAGTGAGAGACCAAAAAAACTTTTTGTAACACCAAAGATGAATTGAAGGCAAGGATTATGGCATCATTTACCAACTTTAACAAGGAGACTGTGCACAAGAGATGCAGGAGATTTTGAAGTTGTCTGGTGGCTGTGGTTGAAGCCAATAGTGATTTTATTGTATAAATTTACTCTTTAGTAATTCAAGATATTTTTATGTAAATTGGGTAAATATATCTGTTAAAATGAGATGTCAGTATTATTTTCATTTTTGCACAATTTAGACGACAATTTATCCATCGCACCCTGTATATATATTTGAAAGTATGTGTATTCATCTGAAAATAATGATTATGTGTAACTCTGTATGAATATGTAAACATATACTGCTGAACAATTATTGAATATGCATCTACAAGTTTTGTATGTTTATTTGCTTCTGATTGTAGGAAATGTGTGCATATATAAAAATTGTTAAAGCCATGTATCTGCAATTGAATAGTTATTGTGCCTGTCTATATAAACAGTTATTAGAAAAAGTTTATGCATTCTTCTGTCTGTGCATGCATTTACCTATAAAATAAGTTGTGTTTTTATCTATGTCAATAAAAATAAAGTTTTGTGTAAGAATGTATCTTTGGGATGTTAATGAATTAGTTCACATATGTAAAGAGCCTCTGTGTGTGTGTGTGTGTGTGTGTGTGTGTGTGTGTGCACATATAGATATGCCAGTGAGTCTGGCGCAAGATGACATTTAGGACAAAATTATTATTTATATCCTTTTAACTGCAGAACTATAGAGAGATTTATTTTATAGGCCAACCAAAAAAATATCAAAAAAACAATTTTTCTTTCTCTGGAAAAAATAAGACGGTTGGTTGTGGACAAATTATTAAATGTAAATATGTTTTTAAAAGGAATTACTGTTTTTGCATATTTATTCTCTTCATAAAGAAAACACCACAAGAAGTTAATATGTATGTTTTTACTTATCTGCTTCTTAACAAGGGCAAATATAATACAGGGTTAGGTTTAATGCATGCATATGGGTAGAGGCAAAAATTGCTCAGTTTCTATGGGTTATGCTGCAAAGGAATCAGCGTGATTCACAACCCTCCCATTTTTAGTGCAATTGAAAGGTGCTGCCTCCCGAGATGAAATCCCCATGCATCTTTGCACTGATGTTATGCTTTGTCTTATCTGAAGACAACAAATCTGAAGTTAGCCCTACAAAATGTTAATTTACCTGAGCTTATAAATATATACATGTGTAGTATAGCACATGTGTACTGGTATTGCAGTTGGCCACCAAAAAGTTTGTTTGGATTTAGTCATTAGATGACATGTGAAGTATTTAGTTTTAATGAGCTTCATTTAAAAAAATTACTTTTAATTGTGCTATCTGTCAAATCTGCATGAATTTCATTAAAAATTATCAAAATTTGTTTATTTTTGTTTATTGAACCTAACATTGAATTTGGAAGAATATAAGCAATATTTTTGGTATATTACTGTTTTTTTATTTTAAGAAAGGTAAAATGTGACTCAGTTACAAAAAAAAAAAATATATTGACAGGTTCTGTGAATTATTGAATATGTCAAAAATGTTTTGTGAGATTTCATGTTAGAAAGGAACATTGCCCCATACTCAGGTAGACTATTTCAGGTTCCAATGATTAAAATTAATGATTTAATGATATTAATGTAGAAAATATCTAAATCAAGTGTTGATATAATGTAGAAAATATTTAAATTAAGTGTTGAAAATCATTTTCAACTGTTTGCCCATGTTTGTTACTTTGATGTATGGCATCCATATAAGTTACATGATAAAGCCTATTTGATTATATTTAAATGTTGTTTTTTTTAAACAAATTGCGATGATTAATAAAAAATTGATCCTTTATAATGCTAGTTGCAAGAGACTGTGGTATAATCAAAATTAACCACCACTAACTGTGGCAAAAGCTAGTCTACATCCAAAAAAGAAAATGCTAAATGTATGATAAGATTCTCTAAGTCCTTCAGAACAAAATGACTGAGTCAAACAATTACCGCTTCTAATTAGACCAAATGAAAGCAGTATAAAATGAAAAGCTACATGAATTAGTTATGTGGAAAAGTGTAATAACCTATGAGGATAACACTGCACAAATTGTTATAACTCTATACAGCAGATATATTATGTGTGCATTACCAGTTATTCTGGTCTTTACAAAAGAATCTTAATGAAAAAATATTCAATTACAGGTAAGACTTCAAAAAGCATATAGAGCATTTTTTAGTATGATAAACAGATGGCAAAAGATAGTGGAAAAAGCTGTAAAAGTTGCTCAATGAAGTTAATGTCCAAAAGAAAAGAAATTATTTAGATTTAATAAACCAAACAAACTATTTATATTAACCAATATATTATATATACATACACTGCTTGCCAAAATCTTAAGGCCAATAAAAATAAAGAAAAAATATACCTTTTGTGTTGTCAAACTCAACCACTTATGAAAATAAGAAAATAAAAATTAAAAATTTTTCAGCATTTAATAGAGAAAATTTGAATTTTGTGAAATTAGGCTAAATACTAGATGGTCATATTATATCTAAATGAAGACATAAAAAGAGTATGAAATGCCCAATAAGTTGTCTCAGTAGTGAGTTGCATGGCTGTCATTGTGAATAACATACATGGTCTATATAAGCATATGTAGAAGGCTGGCTTGAATGTTATTCTAAGTGGTGAAGATGGCTTCAGGAAAATCATGCACTGTTTGGAATTGACATCCATTTCTATAGACTTAACTTGCCATCCATCCCCAAACATTTTCAGTGGTCAGGTGAACATGCAGGATGGTAAAAAAAAAAATCACACTATTCACCATGAAAAAGTTCATTGTGCTGCAGGTATTATGGATTGCTGCATTGTCCTGCTGAAAGATCCAGTCTTTTCCACAAAAGCAATAATGATCCAACATGTCAATATAACCAGCCACAGTTTGACACAGATACAACCTGAAGTCCCATTGTTCCTTGGAAGAAGATAGTACCTCAGATGATGGAAACTCAACTGAGATTAAATTTTTTCTTATCAGAGAATAAAACCTTCTTCCACTTTTCCCATGTTTGGCACTTCCCAGAAAAGTAACCAAGCTGTTTTGTGATATGGAAGGAAGCATTTACAGTTTTTAAAGCCTTTCTCTTGGAGATGCTGTGTTATTGTTCTTGAGCTGAATTCTCCTTCCATAAGGGTATTAATCTGGTTTGATGATAGGCTGGTATCTTGCTGGATAACCTGTTGAATCCTTCTACTCAACACTGATGTTTGTCATGTTTTTACCTAATGTAATGCAGGAGATACCAATGAGAGATATTGGCTGCACCCATGCTTGAAAACAAATGACTAAATTTTGTTATGTATTTATCAACTGAAGCCTTGTTTAAATATTTTGACCAGCTAGTATTTAGTATTTCCCAATATTAAAATTTTCCCTATTTAATGCTAAAAAAGTTTGTAATTTTTATTTTTCCTTTTCTTATTTTCATTTTTCAAAACTCTACTCAAATAAGTGGTTGAGTCGAACAATGCAAAAGGTATATTTTTTTTCCTTTAGTTTCATTGGCCTTAAGATTTTGGTCAGCAGTGTATATAGACATGTATGGTTATTTCTATAATATATTTGAAATAATTGTGTCTAGTAAAATATTTGTACACCAGTGACTAATATATGTTTTGAAAGAGCTAATATATGTGTATGCCTACAAAGATATTTGTTTTATAGCTACTGACTATAAAGTTAATTCCTTTACTAAAAAGATAAAATGGCTTATTTTTTTGTACATGCATATAGGTATATGCATATGTATGTTTGCATAAGCTTATATATATATATATATATATATATATATATATATTTTTAATCATTTCACCCCATACAAGCAAGGTGAGAGTGCCACTAGCACGCAAGGGGTTGCAGACAGTGGGAGCAAGGGTAAAGAGATGTGATTGAGGAAAGGATAAAGAGAAGGATGAGGAATTAGATCAAGGCATCAGAGGATGTCAGTTGATATTACATTTGAATATTTGAAGACTATAACTGTCAGGGAAGCAAGTAAGAGGGAGTTCCACAGATAGGAAGTGCGAGACATAAAGCTATTGGAGTAGAAGAGACGGCTACATTTAACCATTTCAACAGTGAAAGGGTGAGATTGAGATGCCAACCTAGTAACACACTTAAATTCATGCAGTTTGGGAACCAGCAAAAATAGCTTGTCAAAACAGTTATTGAAAAAATACTTGTAGAAAAGACAGAGGGAATTAATGGCATGTCTGTGAGAAAGTGATTGTAGGCAAGATGCCAGACCAGGAAAAACCACATTGCATATCCTTCTCTGGATTTTGTTGAGGACATTGAGATGAACAGTGGGGGTTCCAGACCATATATAGCAGCAATATTCCATGCAAAGGCAAATGGTTGATTTATAGATTTGAAGAATGAACTCTGGTGAGAAATACTTTCTGGCATGACACAGACAACCAACTTTCCATTTGGTAGATGAAGCTATTGATTCAATGTATTTGTTCCATCTTAGGTCAGCGGATAGCGTGAGTCCAAGCAGGCACAGAGAGATTCTCTCATGGAGTTGAGCATCAGCCATTCTCATAGGAGGCAAGGAGGGTTCTCTGTGGTGGGTAAATGAGAGCAGTTTTGTTTTTGAGGCATTATGGTTTACCAGGCATTTCCTGCCCTAGTCAACCACAGATTAGAGGTCCTTTTCGAGACCAATATATATATATATATATATATATATATATAAATGTATGCATGTATACACTCAGAATAAATACTGTTTATAAGAGATTTAATGCATCTGTGTGTGCATATGTGAGTTTAGTACAGGACAGTGTGTGTATTTAACAACTTATAGCTATATATATGAAAATATTTATGAGTTTTAAGTTTTTGTGTATATGTTTATGTGTGTATATGTACATTTATATGTGTGCATCTTTAATTGTTCCCTGTTTTGAAGATTACTTCCTGTACCAAAGTGTTAACCCTCCTCTTAAGTGGAGGATCAATTTACAACTATAGTTTACTATGATAAGTAAAGTAAGACAAAATTTACTAGTGAGGAAAGAGATCAAACAACAGGACAAAAGGTCAGAAAGTGGATACATGTTGGAATGGCAATATGAAAACGTTGCTTCTTAAGATTCACAAAAATTTATTTTTATCAATTTATTTTGTTTGTAATCAGTTGTTAGGAAGCAATGTAAAAGGAAATCAGGAACCAAAGGAAGAATTCACAAAGAGAAAAACAGAAAAGAATACTATGTCTATCAGGCCAACAAAGATGAATAAATGAGAGAGAGAGAGAGAGAGAGAGAGAGACTACTATATCTTATGAATTAAACAGTGGTTTCTCAAATATCATGTTAACAGGAAATAATTTTTTAGATGAACTTAACTTTAAAGATGTACAAGAAAAGAAATTTATTGAGAATGCATATAAATTGTCATGACATTACTATCATCAGATAAACATTTGGAACATCATTGGGTGAATGATCAGATCTTTCTATATGTAGTTTAAGAAGGATATACCGGATTGGGCACCTGACAAAAGCAGGGTATAGAATGCAAGCTAACATGATATAAAAAAATTCATAGCTATTCTCTGTGATCTCAGAAGAAAAATGAAAATAAGGTTTACTTCTATATATAAACAAGTATTTTTTTTTATTTTTTAATGAACAAGACAGTTGAATGCAATTGCAAAGCAAAAAGACAAAAACAAACATGAACTTTGGATAGTTTATTCTCTATTTTGATCCAGATATGCAACAGTTTATTTGAAAATTGGAAAAATTCAATAAAAAATTAAACAAACGGTTGGTTCAATTAAATAAAATTTGTTTAAATGAATTTCTGCTGCCTATATATATATAGTCTATAAATTAATAAAAGCTCAATTGTCTTATCTCTATTGAATTTCATGGAACACAGCTCATCATAGTGAGAGGGACTATAATGTTGAATATATATACACACACACACACATATATATATATATATATATATATATATATATATATATATATATATATATATGGAGAGAAATAGTGCACAGTGAGTAATGGCAGTAAAAAAAAAAACAGTGGTCAATGTAAAATAATAGAGCTAAGATAAACTATGCCTGATGGTTGCCACATGCATGAAACTTTAAGTAGCAGCACAGAGTGGTAAGGAACAACTTTATGATTCTTTTTAATATATATATATATATATATATAAATGAAGATTGCAATCAATATCAAGCTTTTTGGTGTTGACCACAGTGTTCACTTTTATATTTATATACACTATCTCTGACCATAAATGTAACATACCTTAAAACTATATTATATATACATATATTCCTCCATATTTACTCCATATTTGAAATAGACACCTCATTCAAAAAATTTTAATAAAAAAAATGCGTTTCTCTGCAGGCATCAAACTTATGTCATCCTTTGTAGGGGAAAGCACCATTTGGTCTATTCCAATGTTTAAAGTAATAAAAATAATTAATTCTTTAAAAAATTGCTTTGTTTATGTTTCAGAGACAAAAATGAGCAGATATGAAGCTTTTGGGAAAATAACCTGTGTGAAGAAGATGTGATTTCATTAAAAAAGGAAAATATAACCCAGCTTGTGGCATTGTTCTTCTTGGCTGAGCAGTAAAGCACACTGGATTAAATGGTGATTTTCCCTACAAAGGACACAGTTTCAATTCTTGTTCAGGAATGCATTTTTATATACTAAGATTTCTTGAATGTGCTGACCTATAGATGTAATACACACTGTTTAATATATAAAAATGGGGTGTCTATTTCAAATACGAAGTATCCACTATAGTAACATTTGAAGTAATAAAAATGTTGGATTAAAAATAAATCCATTAATTCTTTAGATTTTATACATATACACACACACACCATTTTAGTACCATAATCTTTACATAGATGCAAAGATCATAAAAGATTATGTTGTAGTAATATCTATATAAGAAGTGCCAATTCTTTTTCAAAATCAGTATTTGAAATCTTATTTTTTACATGAACTCAAATAATAAATTATTATTTTCACAAGCAAGTTAACCACCATTTCATCCACCAAGCATGCCTCCATTGATATTATGCTGATAATTTCTAATTTTGAAATATTTACCTTATCAATCAGGTTCTTCTGTTCCAGTTCCCTTTTCTCAGCTGCAGTGATAGCTTTCTGTTTCCGAAGTAGCTCATTACAGATGATCAGCATTTCTTCCATACCCAGATGACGTGCTAATCGTCTCAGATCTGGCAGCACCTTGCTTGAACATTTTACAATCCCCGTGTACAGAAATGCTAATGCTGTGAGAATTGTCTCCCGAGTGAAGTCCTTCAAGTTCAGGTAATAGTTGCCTGTCTCATCATAGTTGACAACATTAAAGAATTTGGAGCAAAAGTTAGCAAAAATACAGGCATGAGCAACCATATGAGGTTTCCTTATGTCCAGGCTGCTCTCTTTGGGACAGTGGGCTTGTAGAACCAAGAAGCAGAATGCCCCCTCCTGTTGTTGCCGTTGAAGACCCTCCCACACATGACGGATATAGTTATCATAAATATGAAACAGGTCTTCTGATGTTGATGAAGGGGCTGGTGGAGGTGACTCTGGCTCCTCTGTAAAAAGTGTTGCAAAAGAGAAAAGAAAAAATATTACATTTCAAAGACAACAATGTAATCTTACAAATTTGATCTCAGCTGTCACTAACTCAAGAACATACTGAAGAACTAAAATTCAAAAAACATTATTGAAAAAGCTAAACAACTGACTTTAAAACATAAATTGAATAGTTTTCTTAATTCTAACTTGCTCTTTTCTGTGATTTTATCATTACCCCCATTAAATACACACACATTCATTTTACTGTTTAACAGTTACACTGCTGCATTCTTATAGAATTGTTGCCAGGTTATGCTGGTCCATTTGGGGGAAAATAAAAACTTCCCATTTACTGGAAATAAATGACTGTAAAGATGCTAGCAGTAATTTCACATTGGGTTATGGGTGCTATCATTTTAGTTTCAGTCAGATATTCTGCAGTACAGACGGAGCTAAAAGACACCTCCAATACAATATAATAAAAATATGTCACAAAAATACAAGTTGTATTATAAGTCTATACTAGTTTGGAAATAGCATTAAGTGCTACTTAGTTTATAATGCAAACACTAGGGACCTACATTTCACTTTAAATTTTTATAGCTTTAAAATCAAGTAATTTGTGAAATATATTCTGTGTAACTTTTGCTATTGGATGATGTCAGATTAAAAATTAAAAGTAAATCTGAAAAGTTTATTTATGGGAAAGTAAAATTAAAAAATATAAATGTGAAATAGTAATATCATCTACTTCAACATCAGCATGAATAAAAGTAAATATAGTTCATACAAGCAAAATAAATGTTTTATTTTCCTTGTATTGGGAATTCCTTCCTATTCTGAATATTGAATACTATTTACTTTCCTATTAAATACTTCTCCAGGATATTTTATTCTTGTACTCATGTTGTAAATCAGTTTTATACAGATAAGCTAATAATGAAGCTAACAAATCTCAAGTTGGAATTATTTTATGCAAATATATTCTTATAACCATTCTTATTTTGGTTTAATTCCAGCCTTAAAGTTGAGATATGTAGAGTATGTAAATCTGTTAAAGTTTTCAGTTTCATGAATTTCAAAGGGACAGCAGTGAAGTGTTTAGAATATTTAATCAGATATAATGTGTAGAATACTAAAATGAGCCATGATAGGCCACTTCATATAAGGAATTTTCTGAATGATGAATAGCAGTGAGAATTGGAGTCACTATATTAATTTTCTCCTTTAACATTATACTTCCTATTCATAATATAGAATCAAATACTTACAAAAACAGGATAATACACACACACGCATTTATATATTAGTATAATATGGGAAATCTGCACAGAGGTATAATGATGATGATTTTGTAGTAGCAGAAAATTACCAATCAGATTTTTTCAGTAGAAATGAATATAAGCTCTCCAAATGTAAGTAGTTAGAAAATACTAAAGTGCTGAATTTTGAATTGAGAATATATAATACACATTTCTGTTTTTTACACTGATGTTCATGCTTACCAAACCCAAGAGGTAAAGGATTACAGAGTAAGAAGCAGAATTTATGGGGATATGTAGGCAAGATAATGGTTAAATCTAGACTTGAACAGGCTAAGATTGTAGTGATCAGTGAAGTATCCTCTTGGAGTCAGTTCCAAAGAGCAGCAGTTCTTGGCAAGAAGGTGCTTGAGTGGAATACAAAGGGAATGAGGGTGGTTTGCTACAATGTGCGTAGCATGGTGGGTCTTAACCATCGAGGTTAGGACTAGTGAAACTAAGGAATGTAGTTCATCTGAACACTCTCCATGAATTATATAAAAGATTATTGGAAATTTTTTTTTTTTATCCCTGTTATTCAGATTTAATTTATCTGGATGAGACTCTCTTCCTCAATAGATTATCCACATTTGTTTTAACATATCAATGTCTTCTGCTTTAAAGAAAATAAATCTATTTTTAATAGTCTCAATAACTGAAAAAAATCAGAATGTGAGCTCATCTGATTGCAAGTAAAAAGACAATTGAGCAATTTGAATTTTCATAATTCTGCATATGATATAAAATGAGCTTTAAACTGATATAATGAATGTTTGAAAAACTGGTTTAGGCTGATTCAGTATAAAATAAGTGAACATGTAACAATTATGGGTGGTTATAGATAACTTTCAGTAAATTTATAGGAATCTTTATATTTAACTAAAATTGCATAATACTGTTAGATATAAAGATTCAGATAAATGAATTACAAGATAAAATGGTAAAATTATATGATGCAGATATTTTGCTGTTCTGTTGGATGGATAAATATTGATGTAGAATGCTACGAATGAACTAAAGAATATAAGGTGCACTATTCAGCATAATAATCAAGTCTCCTATATTGTTTAGAAGATGAGAAATAAAAGGAAGAACTCATGAGACACCAATTATAGAATATCATATAGATGATGTGTGCCTGAATGAATTTAAAAGATTTGTGGACATTATAACATCAGCATAGTTTTTGATAATACAACTGTTTTTCATAACCTTCTTGCTAAATTTTGTCCCTCAAAAGAGAAGAATTTAATGAAAAAAATAAAGAACAATTGAGAGAGAAAACTAATAATAATCGAAGCAGTCATATCTACACAGTGGAACACAAAAGGGAACTTTGAATATTTATATATAATGCTCAGAAAATAATGATTCCTATTTTTACTGACCAAAGGTCCTTTAAAATCCATACTCAAAAGGCTGAGTAGGTTTTATCAGATGAGTGTCTTCTGGTCGATGAAAGTTTGGCTTGCATTCCACTCATACTCTGTAGAATTTAATTACTTGGCACAAATCCTCCACTGAATATGGCATATTCTTTACTTTCACAAAATGATGCAAGCATTTAACTCAGGGGTGATACAAAACTTGGGGATTTATTAGAGATTCTCAACCATAATATACTGCTCCACAATAAAACCAAGAGAATATGTCAGAAGAAGTGTCCTCCTGACCTGGTTGGTATTGGATGTCAAAATTATAGCAAGACAACTTCATCCTCCAATGTAATATTTTGTCATTCTTTATCTTACTTGTGTGTCTTACAGATCACTGGTCAGTTTTCACTTTAAAATTTCTTCCGGTCAAGTAATGCCTCCAGTGATGAACTACCTAAATGATTGCATGAGTTTCCTTCTTGATAGTTATAGCAGTTCTCAGGTCCCTGAAATGCTCTTGAGAAGAAGGCTACTAGACTTCCAGCCTGAGAGTGAACTGTTGCTATAGCAACTTCAGATGCATCAGTTTCCACTTGAAATGACAGCAACCTGTTGAACATCCATACTGAATTTTTAATGTCTTCCTTAAGGGCATAAAAAGCTGCTTCTGCTTTTTTGTTACGGGGAATGTAGTGGTAGTAGCACTCAAATGGCTGATCTTACTTCAATAATTGTATAATATATCCACTGGGAATAGTAAGCAAAGAGGCCTAGAATTCGGTGGAGTGATGTTTTTGTCTTGAGGCAATGGAAGTACATGTAAGGGGCAAAGTCATTCCAGGTCTGCCTATTTTTCTTCTCCCTCTACCACATAACCAAGGATACTGAGCCTTTTTGTGGAAAAAGTACATTTCTCTTCATTGTAACATATTTTTTTCTTTTGAAGCCTTAAAAAATTTGTTACGGTTAAAATCATGTCCCTCTTGAGTCATAACACAAATTGTAATATTTTCTAAGTAGGCATATATTCAAGAGAGTTGCTCTTCTTCCATAAAGGAGTCCATGATCCTTTGGAAGCAAGCCACTCCATTGGTAACACCAAATGGGACCCTGGTGAACTGATATAGACCACTACCAGCCTCAAATAGTGTGTAGAACTTATCTTCATTTTTGATATGGTCAAATGTACTAAAAACACAGTACTGTGCAATTTTGTTCACTGTGTCATCAATATGGAGCAGAGGGTAGCCATCTAGAAGTGTGAACATGTTAATAGTTTCAGAGTAATCAATGGCCAAACAGCATTTGACTTCAACAACTTGTGCCCACCAAGGATAATTACTCAATTCTATTCCCTTGTCCTCTGGGTTTCTTTTTCAATAAACATCTTATCCTCATACAATTACCAGCAGGATTTAGATGATATAGGATGACAGCTGTAAGATTCATAAAGAGTTTGGGTGGGTCCACTTTCAAGGTGCTGAAACCATAGATGACAAGAGGTCGTAGTCCTCCTCCATATTTCAAAGTAACACTATCATGCATCCTTTGAAAGTCCAGTCCAAGAACCACATCAGAACATAATTGTGGCATAACCACTAGTCACACTACCTGATAATCCTGGGCATCAACTTTGAGGTTCATCAAACAAAACCCAGATGTCTAAACAGAGAGGTTGACACCATGAAAACAACTCCCGACAAATAATGGACAACCATGGTACTCAACTAAGTCTGGATGAATGAAACTTTCAGAGTTGCCATTGTCAATAAGGCCATCCATTTCTACTCCTTTAACAAATATTTTTACTACTGCTTTCCTTAGGGAACCTGGATTAGCCACTGAAGTCACTGAAGCCTGTGTTGCTTGATCATTTGGATGTGCAGAAATTCCAGCTGCTGTTAAATAATATAGCACAACACACCTTAGTCCCTTCTTCCACATTGAT